CTTACTCGAACAGGTGCAACGCAGAGCGACAAAGATGGTCGACGGTCTAAAGCATTTGTCTTATCAGGAGAGGCTGAATTTGCTTGGCCTATTCCCTCTCTCTTATAGACAAATAAACTACAGTCTACTCTGGACGTTCCGGATTGTTCGCGGCCAGGGTTGCTCATTAAGAGCAGAGGACTTCTTTGAGTTCGCCCGAACAAACCAACTACGCGGCCACGCATACAAAGTCGGGAATGAGCACACGCGTTTAGACCGACGAAAATTTTCATTCAGCCAGCGGGTTGTCAGGCCGTGGAACTCGCTTCCAAGCGAGATGGTGACGGCTGACACAGTTTGTGTGTTTAAAAGAAAACTTGCTCGTCTAGTTTTCGACAGAAATCGGCTTGTGCAGCATGACTATGCACAGCCAGTTTTGTAAAATCTGTCATATACAATCTTCCGCACTAATTTACAGTGACCCTATGCACTACCTTATGATTACGATTGAACTGTGACCCAATCACATTTTAAATGCCTGCAATTTTATTTTATTTTTGAGTATGAATCTGCGAAAGCACTGTTTATAAATAGGGTCATCAAGGGCTCTGCCTATAACCCTTCAATATACATATACATACAAAGGGACGAGTGAGTTCCGTAAAAACGATCAGTGAGTGCCCGTCTACCATTATATATATATATATATATATACATGTAATGTTAGGGGGTACTCACCGATCGTTCATACGGAACTCACTCGTTCCGTTGTGCCTTAAGGGCTCTCTCTCGAGCCCAACCAGCAGCCGCGCAGCGGCGCATGATATATGGGCAGAATGATATTACCGACAAAGAAAAGGGAGACTGGAATGGCCATTTCTGGCTTATTAGCCGTCGTCAGCCACCCATACCCAAGCCCGAAGTGTGGAACACCCGAGCCTGGAACTCGCGACCTGTTGGTTTAGAATTCAACAGGTCGCGAGTTCGAGGCTCGGGTGTTCCACACTTCGGGCTTGGGTATGGCTGGCTGACGACGGCTAATAAGCCAGAAATGGCCATTCCAGTCTCCATTGTCTTTGTCGGTAATATCGTTCTGCCTATATATATATATATATATATATTGGAATCAAAAACGTTCTTTGGGAAAGGGAGAAAACTTTATTGAGTAAATTTTCGACGTCGGTTCCCCGTGTCGTCGTCAGACTAGAGTAAATGTGCTGAAAACAATTAAAATTTCAAACGTGCTACAAAATCAATACTCATTTGGTGCCTCAGCTAGTAAGCTGCCGTCGTGTGTGTCAGTCCGTATTGATCGGCTTTCGTCTCTTCCA